ATGCGCCTTGAGGCATGGAACATATGTACCAAATATGCCAAAGATGTCTACAAAATTATCTCAGTTATTATTAAAAAACTGATTATTTTTGAAAACTTTGCCACCCTGTATCTCAAAAGTTAAGGCGTTTAGAACATACGTCCATAGGACGTTTTTTCCTTAAAATGGGTCTAAGAATTACCTCCTTAAATATTAGCATGTGTTTAAGGAACACCCTGTATACACATATAAACATATGCACAGTTCATTATACAGTGTGTCTCACTTCCCATAGAAATACCCGTGTATTTTCCATAATAATTGGGGTAGAAGGATGAAACTCTCAGGACTGATTGAGTGTTCAAAATACACATACCACCCGAATGAGGTTGGCCAAAGTGATGTACAGATTCAGATTCTCATCTTCAGATTCAGATTCTCATCTTCCCTATGTGTACACAGTAAAAAGTATTTCTTTAAAAGGAGATCATAGGTTGCTTTGAAATTTTTATCTCTATTAGAAAAACTATTACTTTATGCCAACATTGCCATGTTCCACCAGAAAATCACACTTTTTTCAACAAAGAAATCAAATTAATTGTCCTTTCAACGACATCATTCTTTTGATTATATCATTGCGAAGATGAACTATTTTGAATCAAGAAAATATAATATCATCCCAAAATCCACCACCTATTTGAAGGGAAAAATGAACTGTTTCAAATGAAGAGCAATATCAACTTGATCTGAATACATAGTGTTTGTTTGAATTTAATATGTATTCGTTTCAAATGACTCAATTCGTTTATAACAAGAGTTTTGTGAATATACATACAAAACTATATTATGATCGACTGAAAATAACAGGAATTTTGTATAGAATGAACAGGGTTTCTTTTAAAGAAGTATTTCATTCATTCCAACACATACGCGCCAGTATGTGTTGGAAAGTGATGTTGGTGTGTTGAGATTTTGACGAGGAAGTGTTTAATGTGTCTGTAGGCAGTGCAATTTCTTTCCGATTATTTTGTATCTACCATAATGGAACAGAATCTACAAGACTGGGGTCCTGCACAGTTGAAAGATATTTTCATGGGTAAGTATTATAATTGGATAAAACTCCGCTATATCACTAAGTACCGCGTTGTATATGTAGTACGGAAGAGAAAGTGGTAAACTTTAACGGCAACTCTCAATTTTGCCTTCATTTTGCGGAAATTATACCAATGTTCCGTAATTTTTCACACATGCATTATTACATTTGCCGAGCTCTGCAAGTGTATATTAATTTAAATTGAAAAATCCTCGACGTTGATTCAAATTTGCCAATCTCTTGTTTTGAACATACATTTTATCTTGTTTCAAATAAGAGCATTTTCTCTAAATGAAATTTGATTTTCTCTCAGACCGAATTCATTTTCTATTGAAAGATAGAGGTACTTATAGTTTCGACAATAAATTATAATACAAAAAATACCAAAAAAGGCACCAGTAGGTATAAAAAGCTTCTAAATGTGTCAGCCACTTTCTGATTTCAACATGTAAATATTTGTTGAATTCCNAAATGTATGCACAATCTTGGTGGAATATTTTTTTTACTCCAAAAAAGCGTTCATTCAGTCCATTTGAAATAATGATTCAAATTCAACTTGACAGAATATGTTTCTCAGTTTAAAAAAATATTTCTTCATAAATATTGGATAGCAAGATTTCTTTAAATCGAGATAATGTTCTTCACTTTTAGATTTTTATTTTTACTGTGATATGATATTTATGTGAATAAACATTATCATTATTATCGATACTTTGTCTTATACGTACAAATGTGACGTCCTGACTCACTGATACAAGCTAAGGATGTAGTTTCAAAGGAATAATTAAGTGTAAAAGACAACAACCTACCAACCTAACTAGAAGTGACTTGCATGAACTAAAAATGAAATGTTATTCTTGGTCGAATTCTAATGTACATTCCCTCAATGCAGTCGTCGGATTGATTTTGATTCCTTTCAGAGTTTTGATACCCGCTTGGTAGAAGAACAGAGATAATTGCAGGTTTCTTCAGAAGAAATTATGTGGAAGTGGCATTTAGACCACATGCCAGGTTATCTAATTTACTTTTCAATGCCAAAGATAAAGTGGATAAGTTGGAAAAATCTGGAGTTTATAAGCTTAAATGTCCGGAGTGTAATAGTTTTATGTGGGACAATGTTGTCGAAATCTCCAAAAACGGTATGCTGAACATGAAAGGTCCTTCAGACTAGGTAAAAATGTTTCGACATTTTCAAAACTATTCTTGGCATGAAACCACAAGTTCCCGAATCTAAACGATACGGAAATTTTGCATTATGCAAAGGTAGGTTACAAACTCAATTATTTGAAATCCTTGGAAATTCACAAGCATAAACATTGCGGGTGCAATCTGTTAAATGATCAAATCGATTTAGTTCACACACCTGTTTTCAAATTAGCATATTGTCACAGGTAAACAAAATTCAGGTACTCATTTCAGTTAAGTTCCCCTGTTATTACCTACAGTAGTGTTATAATGAGGGCTAATGTAATCAATTATTCTTAGTTTATTGTATAAGTTTGAAAATGTCCTTATAGGACGAAATTGCAGTAACGTTAGTTACAAATAAAAGTGGTGAAAAGATAGAAAATTCCAATCCTCTTTTCTTCGAGCTCTGGAGACACTTCTTGGCTACACCGCCTAATAATTCCACCGAGGTTCTGCTGCTGGAAAAACAAAAATGGTCTATCAAGATTTGCTTTGTGAAGAAATCCGACTGTCAGTTATAATTTGATGTCCATCATACCGGGAAAGTTGTTGTTTTCTTTCAATAATTTGTCGGATTCTACACCTATTTTCTCAATACAATCATTAGACTAATTTTAATTCCTGAGAACTGAAAAATTAATGATAATATTTCTAGGCTATGCAATACCAGATAGCTAGAAATGGAATGTAACAAACTTTTAAAAAGTCATTACCGAGTCAAAAACGAAATTAACTCCAAAGGATGAAATATTAATTGGCAAATTGGGTTAGCGCTATTAGATAAGTAGAACTAATTCTTTACAGCTGAACAGTTGCATTATTACGATTATATAAATCCAAATGGAGTTTTAGTCAGTCTATGTTTTAGAAAAATCAAATACTAAAATAGCTCTTAATATTTTTGGTACACTTCAAAAAAAGTTGGGCAACTTGAAGGGACATTATGATGGAAACCTTCAGATATAAAGACCCTTAAAAGGCTTGAAACCGAATGATATGAAACGATGTTTATGAACATTGATGAATGTCTATTAATAACAGAAAACTTTTCTTTTTTTTTTTGAAAATTATTACAAGTAGTAACTTAGCTACTGTGGTGAATAACTGCTCGACGGAATAAAAATTGATAGTATTCCCTGGAAGTAGCTTCGAATAATTAAATAACTCGTTCATTAGCGTCACTGGAGAAAATCAACTACTTATTTTCCACTCTCAAAACTTTTCAACACCAATTAAAATACAATTAATTCACCGTAAACGCTACAAACCGTCCTTATCTTTCATAATTGTGCCGCTGGGGAACTCGACACATATTTCAGCTGAGTAGCTTCCGACAATTAGTACTGAAATTATTATTTCCTTCAAAATAACTCCGTAACTGTTTTGAAATTTATTTTGTATCTCATTTTCCCAGTTTCTTTGTTCGGATTTGAATCTAGAACGGAGTTTATGGGTGATATATAATCGAAAGCTGTGCATTGTGTAAATAATCTGTTTTTTTTAATAGAGAGAACATTTTTTGAGGTTTTCAAATTCAAACATCGAGGTTGATGGGACATCGATTTGAGACTGAAACGATGAGTTGGTGTAAACTGTATTTGACGATTATAAAAGTTTCATTCTTTCAACAAGCCAATTTTCAATCCTCACGAGTATTATGAACTACATAATTGAATTATCGCATGATTTGTAAAAATGATGTTTTCTCCGCACTAAAACAACAGGTTTCCGAAGTGATGAATGATGACTTATGAATGATGAAATACAGACATGTAGATGAAGTCCGCCGACGATGGAATACAATTTTGAACGACGTTAATTGAATGAAAACTTGTGGTGAATGAATAAATTCATCGCGAAATTAGTTTCCAAAAATGTCCAAAA